TAATGTTGATTGTTCTTGGCTAACAGTTCTGAACCAAAGGCAGAACTAGAGCAAAACTGGTTTGAACACAGTGGGTAAACAGAAGCAGAGGACAGCTCCTCAATGCTCAACCATTTTTTTCTAAGGTTTTTTTTTTTTTTGTTCATGATAGAGATTGTGTGTGCATGCGTGATGGAGACAGAGAGATGGAGAGAGACAAAGCACCCTCACCAGGGTCCCTTCACACGTAATCACCTCCAGCCCTTCAGGACTCGGGCTGAGCATGCATTCTGCATGTTCCAGGCCACTGGCTGTGGATCCAGACCTGGGCTGGACATGGCCTTCCAACACTGCGGCCCCCGCTCTGCCACCTGCACCACCTAGCTGGGTGGCTTAAGAGTTATTTTTAAATTTATTTTATTCGTTATTATAATTTTTAACTTCACTATTGGGTTCATCCACTCACCAGAGAGAAACACAGTGAGAGAGAGAGAGAGAGCAAGAGCAAGCAAACCACTAGGTCCAGAACTCAAACTGCAACTGTGTATTTTATATATGTGTGTGTGTGTATAATGACATATATATACATGTATGTACTCATGTATCTGCCTTGATTATCATCTGCCTTGATGCATATGACAATTTCCACTTGAGTTTTATAACTTTGAACAGGTTTATGGGTCCAGTTGTAAAGTAATGTTGTAGTACTCAGGGAAATGCAAAAGGAATTTTATATATATATTTAATATACATGTATATATTATATATGTATTGTATACATGAATAATGATACATTTTTTCCATTGAAATACTAATGAGGGAATTTTGATTCTTCTTAGAAAAGTAGCAAACTGAAAACTTTTTTCAAATTTTTAATCAAGCATTAAAGCAGACTATGTTTGGAATTTGAGTCTGTTCTTTCTCAGTCAAATTGTACTATGCATGAAATTAATTTTGAACTTGAACATAAGTCTTAACATACTGAGGATTTGTTATTACTAAACTCAAGTATAAAAGAACAATTGTTAAAATTTCTCCACTTCATCAAATATAACTATAAACTTTTATAAAATAGAAATGCAGACCCACCAATTTCATAGAGATAGGTTTCTGTTGTGCCTGTATATTAATAAAAACCCAAGTTCTTTTCCATTTATCAATAGGACTATGCAATTTATTAATTGCAAACAAAAAACTATGCGTATGTGGTTAAGGGTTAGCGACAGGAACATTTACCGAGACTTAAGGCAGCAGATAAGAATTTTGATAGCATGACTTTCAGAACTGATTTCTGTCAATGAGACTTGGCAGAAAAGATACCTGATAGCAGGTAAAAAAACAGGTACCTGAGAGCAGGTAAAATAAAGGTACCTGATAGCAGCCGGAAAAAGTGAAGCAGACTTCCGCGAGGTGCTGCTTCGGCTCCCTTACTCAGGCATGGAAACGAGCCTACAGCGTAAGACTAACACTGGGTTGTTCATTTCCATACTTTGTTGGTTTTCATGAATAGCAATATTGTTCTTAAAGTATTTCTCACTTGAAAAATTTACGTAACTTGATAAATTGTCAGGTAAGATTAATGTATTGATTGATCTGTCAAATCTTTACTAGTGGATCCAATTGAATTGATTTAGAAAAACTAGAGAACTTGTGAGTGGGAGTCTGAAAGGTGATAAGGTTCTAAATTGAAATGTTTTAAAAAGTGCTTCCATTTTACATAGAATTAAAGCAAAAGCGGGCTGACTGGCGAAGACACTGATTTGCTGCACATGGGACCTTCTCTGGGCACAGATGCATTGTCCTGCATTTCTACTTAATTCTTCTTAGATCTAAATCCTCATTCTCTCACCTGAGCCTGGTCCTCCTTCACAGCTTTAGTCTGCCAGTGATTCTGTATGTCAGTTCCAGCATTCTTCTCTCTTTCATGGTCCACATTTGTTCAGTTCCTGTTTCAGGGACAGTTTCTTTATTTTTTAAATTTTTTTTCTTGAGAGGTTTTTGCTATAGGGTGCATGCGCTCACCACAAAGACAGAGAGGCAGAGAGAAAGAAAGCAAAAAATCACCCCCTGGGGGGGATGGCATGCCGCAATCCCTTCTCCTTCATTCTCCTCTCGGGGTCTTGGGTACGCATGCACACACGCCCGACATGAGTTTAAGCCACCGGGTCCGGGACTCGAACCACAGTTGACTACATGGGAGTCCAGCAACATAGCCATTACGCCAACTGCTGGTCCCTCAGGTACAGTTACTTAACAGGTCTTATGCGTGTGTGTGTGTGTTCATGTGTGTGCATGTGCATGTTATTTATTTATTTTGCCATAGGCCATGTGTGCTAACCAGAGAGACAGTGAGAGACAGTGGGAGGTAAAGGAAGGAATCACCCATCGCCCAGGGGGGATAGCCACACCGCAGTCCCTTCTCCTCCTTTCTCCTGGGATCTGGGGCAAGCACGCACATGTACCTGGGTGATTTTCAAGCCGCCAGGTCCAGGACTCTAACCACAGTTGGCCATGTGGGAGTCCAGCGCTGTGAACTATGGACTATTAGCCACTATGCCCCCCGCAGGCCCAATAGAAGTGACTTTTTAATATAGACTTTAGATTTAATTGTTATGTATCAAAGACTTACATTTTTGCAATAGCCACTTGATACTTTTTCCTCTAATTTCCTTTTTCATCAGTTAAATTGTTATTCCATTATAATGTTACAAAATGCCGCACTATTTTTTTAAACTGTTGTATCTCTATTGTCTAAGTCCAGATTCTCTAAAATGTTTTCAATTT